CGTTTTCCCTTCTTGCTCATGGTCGTCCGACCTCAAGTCACCTTGGGACCCTCTCAAGTGCGATGAAGCTGGAGCTTCTAATCGCGACGATAATGTCGGCTTCCACTACAATGAGATTCTGGCATCCAAGCTTAAACAACATCAACTCAACGGCGGTGGTGCCATGAAAATGATGATGCAACAGCAGATGATGTTACCTGAAAAAGGTGTTGCCGCTGCAGAAGGCGAGGTCGTATCCATGGCTGAGGAAGCAACGGAGAAAGAAAGGTTTGAAGTAATACGCTTTTGAATGGCGTGAATCTAACTCAAGGGTCTGATATGCTTTCCATTTCTTTTGTATTGGGAAAATTACTTGCTTGGTCACTTGGCATTTGATGAATTATGTTAGCTTTATTTTTCTTTTTAAGTTTGGCACTGTATTGTGCATACAATTCATTTTGATCCTAGAATTTTAAGTTTAAATTGAATCATTAGATTTAGATTTCAATTATTTTAGTCCTAATTTAGATTATCTTATTTAGTATCGTTTTCTTTATTATTATTATTTTTTTAAAAACCTTTTTTTCATGTTATATATATATATATATATATATATATATATTCTTCATGTTATTTTATTTTATTTTATTTTTATTTTTAACATTTTTACTTTATTATTTTTTTATTTTCTAACCTTTTTTATTCTTTTTGCTTCTCTTTAGTTTACTAAAATATTTAATTAATTAATTATTTTTATTTTACAATCTAACATTTTTTGACGTTTTCAGTAATAATTTCAATCGATCAAAGGTAAGCTATTCCAATTGAATTTTTAAATTTTAATTTTAATTTTAATTTTAATTTTTTCGCAATTAAGACAACTGACAAATTAATTGGTACCGAAAGGACACTACAAGGGTGCTAATCCTTCCTTGACCGTAACCGACTCCCGAACCCGACACGTTTCTGGTACAACGCAGATCCGTTTTAAAATAGTCGGTGGCGACTCTAACCCCAATTCACGTTTTTCCTAAGTCGAAGCCCGATTCCGGGGCCCTTACTGTTTTTATTACCATAATCACATTAATCCTATCATTGTGTTGGTGGAAATTAAATAAGCATGGAATATCACTTGTTTAAGAGCAGAGTACAACTTTTTTTTTTCTGGGGGGGGTTCCGTAGTAAGTAGGGGCGAATGTATATAGTATGGTGTCCTATTTATGCACTTACCACCTATGCAAAGATTCTCAATGTTGTAAAAATGGACCGAAATGGTGTTGATTTCAAGCATTCAAAAGTGGCACACACACACACACTGATGGAAGAAATGGGATTGTGAATAAAACATGTGATTGTGAAGTGTGAACCAACAAATTGCATAACCCTCAGACATCAAAGTCTATGTATTTTGTAAACATTGGAGCTTGTGGCGACAGACATTCAGCTCGGTTCCTGGCCCATGCCATGCCCCCTGAAGTTTCCAAGGGTATCATATTCATCGGGCTCTACCTAGTTTGTTTCTGGCAATTACCATTACTTATCTGTGTAGTGTAACATTAGTATGATATTACGAGGAGGAGAAAGAGGAAAATGAAATGGAATCAAGTTCATGGTCCATCCCATATAATGCATCTCAACATCTGATATGGATATGCTGCAGTGCAGAGCAGGCATGCACATGCTTCACTTGTCATCCCTTGTTATTTCTTCGCTGTTACATATATGATTTCCTTTTAAGTTTTAAATTTAAATTTTATAAACAAGATGAAATTGAAGGTTCGAATGATGATTGCTGCGAGTCTGCGACTTGTGTTGTGTGTGGTGGGTAATATTCTCCCACTAACAATAGTAATACTTTGCAACTAGAAAAAAAAACTATTTCCCAATCATACCTGAAAAGAGAAGTAACCTGTTGGTAAACATTTAGTTTAGGTTTCAATTTGATATCCTACCGTAAAAAAATTAACATAATTGTTAACGTGACATTTTTATTTTTTACTGATGATGTGCCATTACCTTATGATGACACATCAACATCACCATTAAGTTTTTAATGGTGGGATACCAAAATGAATATAAACTAAACGTTAAGTATGATTTTGAAAAAAAATAAAGTGTAGGTACCAAAAGAGAACAAAAGTAACGATTGAGGTACTAAATGTATAGTTTACCCTAGAAATATTATAAAAACAAAATTTATATATTTGATAAATTCAAAAATTCAATTTTATAAAAATAATGTCTAAATCCACATAATATATTATTAATTTGGTAAATTTTATAAAATTAATCTTAATTATTATTAATTTGATAAATTCAAAATATTCAATTTTATTAATATAATGTCTAAATCCACAGAATATATTATTAATTTGGTAAATTTTATAAAATTAATCTTAATTATTATTCAAAAGTAATGGTTTGTTATCAATTATTGGCAAGTAACAGTAAGTTTTCGTACAAGTTGCTACTGAATAATATGTTTAATGGTTCTTCTCATAGGGAGCTAATTTCTGATTGCGATCAGCTGCTGAGAGTCCGAGTTAACTTGAGTGAAAACAAAATCGTAGGTAGGATGGGGAAGGCATTTTTTCCTTGATTGTCTGCAGCTAATAGAGTATGAAGCAGCATTTAATCGGATCGAGGGATCCATAGATCCTGGTATATGCAACTTGACGATGCTTGAACGCCTCGACTTCAGAGGAAATAGACTCTCTGGATCTCTGCCAAATCAATTGGGGAAGTTGAAGAAACTGACATGGATATCTCTTGGAGAGAACAATTTAAGTGGAAAAATTCCACCTGAACTCAGTCAACTGCCGTTGTTTAAAGTTTATGATATTTTCCACAATGGTCTTACAGGATCGAACCCTGCTAGCCTAACAAACGCTACGAATCTTGAAACACTTTCTTTTAATGATCTTTCCGGTCCGATACCAAGTCTCGAACATCAGACTAATTGCAGTGCCTATAGAGGTAATGAACGTTTGCATGACAAATGTACATATACTGCACTGTCCCCGGAGAGGCCTGGCAGTCTGCCAAAATTTAAGAAAGGGGTGAATTTGAAACCTGTCATAATTGCAGCCATAACTTCCACTTTTGCTCTGCTTTGTATGGTTGCAGTGGCTGTAATCATCTGTCAACTTAGAAAGAAAAAGGTTAAAGACTTGCTGTGAAAGGAAAAGTGGTTGTGACTTTTGCAGATGCTCCTAATGAGCTGAAATATGATAATGTAGTTAGAGCTACAGGTAACTTTGGTCTCCGAAACCTTATTGGTACGGGTGGATTTGGTTCAACCTACAAAGAGGAGTTGGTCCCAGGATATCATGTAGCAGTAAAGAGGCTTTATATCGGTCGATTTCAAGGCATTCGGCAATCTGCTGCAGAGGTAAGAACGCTAGGAAGAATTCAACATAAGAACCTTGTAACTCTAATGGTATATTATGCTGGGTAAAATGAAATGTTTTTAATTTACAATTATCTTTCTGGCGGAAACCTTGAGACTTTCATTCATGACAAGTCCGGCAAAAATGAGCGGTGGCCCGTTATGTACAAGATAACCATGGACATTGCTCAGGCTCTTGCTTACCTTCATTATTCGTGTGTACCCCGAATAGTTCATCGAGACATCAAGCCAAGCAACATTTTTCTTGATGAGAATCTTAATGCCTTCCTTTCGGACTGGGTTAGCTACGCTTTTAGAAGTTTATGAGACCCATGCCACGACAGATGTTGCCGGCACATTTGGTTATGTAGCACCTGAAAATGCAACCACATGCAGGGTACCCGACAAGGCAGACGTGTACAGTTTTGGTGTTGTAATGTTAGAATTGCTGTTGGGGAAGTAGTCCCTCGATCCATCATTTTCCGATTATGGGAATGGATTCAACATTGTCGAATGGACCAATATGCTGATCAAGGAGGGCTGTCCCTCTGAGATTTTCTCAGCTGGATTGTGGGAAACTGGTCCTGGGGAGGATCTCTCGAGAATGCTATGGCTTGCATACGCCTGTACAGCGGAGACACTTTCGGCTAGGCCATCAATGAAGCAAGTTCTCGAAAAATTGAAGTAGTTGAAAACCTGAAAAAAGAGAAGCTGTGATACAACGCCGACAGGAAACACAAATTAGCTTTTCTCCTGCAGATTCTTTGGCTTCCATATGTTGAATTGAGATAATGCGGAATTCAAAGTATTGTAAATGCCAATTTGATATCCATTTCCGATACTGGGAAACTAAGGATTGAAGTTTTACATGGCGAAACACATTTTTAGGAAGGGAAATGAGAACATTATCTATTTTCATATTGCTACCTTTGACATGTAAAGGCATTGTGACTCTAATCCTTTCTTGGCTCGGATTGTTTGCAGATCGCATTGGAGTGGAGTACCATTGTCGGTCTTGCCCTGGCGTCATATTCATCAACGACCCTTTATCTCTTTGATTAAGGTTACATAACATTTCCATTATACTATTTCTTTTATTTCCTGGTGTTAAAAAAGGATAAAAACCTTCCATTTTGGGAGTAATTTGCTTTCATAAATTAATAAGTTCATATGTTTTTTTTTGCAGAATGCAGATTGTCATCATGAAAACATCTAATTGACATTGCAGTTAAAAAAAATTACCACTTGGCGTGTCACTAGAAATTTGATACAAAGTATATAGATGATTGGCTGATTGGCAGTACTAGAAGCATATGACATGCAAATGCAATGTTGGGGTTACAATCATTACTGCAAAGTTGTCAAATGTGGGAGCATCTCTATTGTTTCACTGAATTTTTTTTGTACATATTGCAAATGCCTTGTGGCATTTGAACTTTTGTATTTGCTGGTGTTACATTGTGTTCATGGCAATGTTCTCAAGTAGTAAATAGTCAACAGTTTTATTACCAAATTCCCAACATAAAAACTCATTATTCAACTAACACAGAGAAGAAGCATTTGCAGTTAGGGCCTCCAACATTATCGAATATACTTGATTGTCAATGACATCAAAAGAGTATTATGGAAAAAGAAAAAGAAAATAAAAAAGAAATCCAAACTGTGATGTGCAACACTACCAAATAAGAGATGCCATGCCAGGACATTTTCATCCTTCACACCTAACCTCCCATCATTCCACGTAATATCTACTTATATACAAAGAGTTTTTGTGCTGTGATGAGTTCAGTTGGCTCTTTGTATAGTATAGGTGTATGTACAGAAATCTATCTTGGAGTCTAGTAAGTCTCTTCTACCATTCCTCTATATATAATTATAAGAACGAACCTCGCATCAAATGAAGTGGTCATTCAGCATACCTCCAAATTATCTGAGAAAGCTCAAAAATGATAAACTTTAGTCCTTCCATTTCTCAGAAACAAATTAAAGAAAGAACCTCTTCATTGATTCCATGACCTCAAATATGGTTTTCCCATTGGATCATGCAAAGCAGAATTCTGATGTGTCAAGTTCATCCATCCTGTATCATCAGTGACCATCAGTGGGGTAGTTGTATCACACGAACCTAAAAAATCAAGCGGATGAGCAGCTTGCTGCATACTATTTCCAACTATTCCAGGAGTGCTCCCCCTCATCATTCCATTGTTCCTCTGCGGAATGAATTGCTCAGTAGAGCCCATTGTTTCATAAGGGATTCTTGAATGAAATTGGTTACTGTGAGATAGAACACTAAATAGGCTCTGATCTGCATTGCTTGCACTCAAAATATTCGGATTTTGGCCACTAAAACCTTCTGAACCAGCCCATCCACTACTAACTTGATGCTCTCCAGTAAACCAGTTTTGATTCAACATATCTCTACTATTCAACTGATGATGGAAAGGTGCCGGCATGGGGGCAGGAGGGATAGTCCAATCTTGCATATTTCCCAAAGGCAGGTGTTCTCGCCTTGGAGTCAAGGATCCGCCCCCAGCAGAGAAAATGTTTTGTGGCATATAAACCTCATTCTGCCTCTTTTGCCTCTGCTCTAACAGAAGTGATGACTGCAACTGCTCCGGAAATTGGCCGTTAAAATGATCATCTTCCATTAATAGATTCTTTGGGGGATGGAAATCTGCCCCTACCTGTTTCTGCTCACTATGATATGACGACACTCCCTGATCCTTGAAGAACAATTGAAGCAGCTCATTTCGGTCCTGATTTGTATAACTAAAGGGGCCATCTTCAGAATGACTATGCAACAATGCCTTCCCATTACTTCCTTTACGCAAGTCTGATTCTAGATCAGTCATTTGGTTCTGGTCTTCGGTGTCTTGATGAATGAATGGCAATCCACTGGTAGATGTGTATTTATGGTCAGCAGTGGAGTCATGGTAAGAGTGTGGCATGCTATCTGCTGACCAGACAATTTCTACAGAAGAGACAGGAACCTCCTGACTAACAGTTGCACCAGCAGTGTTCAAATCGTCCGAGTGTTCAGATTCATCCGAAGATGCAACATCTGGTTTTGAGATATTCTCGTTTTCAGACTCCACGTGATTGCACAGCTGGCCACTATCAATAGAAGAAATCTTCTGTGGGGACTGATTCAATGGTAAGGCCAGACCTGACTCCCCATCTTCCATGCTGGACTCACTTTCCGTGGCTTCAGTATCCTTCTCAGGATCCTCTTCCTCTACATCTAGAGCAGCCGAGTGTGTATCAACATCGTCTTCCTGATCCTGGAGCTTTAATTTATCTTCATCATCCTCATCCTAACACATTAGAAAAAAAATATCAAAATTACAGTAGCATAGAAAAATGTTCAAAGCTGCTAGCAATCCCACCCCAAAAACCAAATGCAAAAAAGAAGGGGAAAAAACCATACATATAAGAGGGGAGAGAGTTAAGAAAAAGAAACAAACCTCCAGCAGCGAATTTGGTTTTTCTTTCATCTCTTGCTCCAAAGACTTGGTCATTTTCCATTTCTGCAACTGTATTTCTCTCCAGTTTGCATATGATTCAGGGATATCTTCCTTTACCAGTTTCAACCTATTTAAACAACATTAATTTGAGAAGAGGTACAGAGAAAATTCTTATGAGTTTCAAGAAAGAATTGTCTGCTTCAACACTCACCAACGTTCATGCAACTTCCTCTGTTCTTCTTCTATGAATACTTCATACGGTTGCACATGTAAGGTATAAATGTCACCTAAAACACGGATGATAGACTTTGATTCAATGCTTCTACCAGATTGCTCCATATTCTTTAAAAGATCATGCTGCTTCTTGCTTATCTGAAACATATCAAAGGCAAATAAATAATCCCTTAATACCTTCACAAACATGAGAGAAAAGAGGACTGAACAGTAACAAACACTAAAAAAGACTCGGTTAAAGAATAAAACAGGACATGATACAAGATACTGGTAACTTGGAGTTCAAAATAAAGCTTCACCGCAGGCTTCTATCAGCCAATCCAAAGTTTAAATGATAATAAATCCTATATCCGAAAGGATATCTAATCCAAGGAGATATTTGAATAAGATGAAAGGCATCTACTCAATACAATCCTGGAATCTTTCAATTCAATTAAAGCCGCTTCTGACCTTAAAACATGACATGTATTTAGTACCATCACACTGCTGAATATTGCGCTTGCGTATCTTGTCACCTTTTTTGGGTCTTGCTTCCACAGTCGGCGCATAATCAGGAGTAGTAGAGAGCATTCGACCTTTTTCCTTGACTGTCCCTTTTTCATACAAACTATATCCATGACAATTAATAAGATTCATTCACCATGAAGTAAAATATACTGATTAAAACTAAAAGAAACGAGTCCAGCCACCATAAGACCTAACTGCTGCAAAAGTTTCTAGAACATATTTATGGTTCAAAATTTCTTATTCAGCAAAAATGACAAGATTGAGAACCACCTATACCACAGACAACGGTAAGAATGACGCAGTAAGCATCCTTGTAGCTCAAAATAACATTACGAACAGAGAAACTTCAACCAGGAAACTGCAATGTGATTCCCACAAACTCAACCAGCATGGAGCGTAAATTTTCTTGCATGGGATATAAACATTTTAATACTTGTAGCCAGAAAAGCAGAGTTTTTCCTTTAGTAGGCACGCAATTTACAGATAAGTATAATAATAATGAGATGCTATGTGCTACAAAAGAGGCCATTGATAAAAGTACTTTATAAGAGAATAAACAAGCTACAGTTTCTTAACTCAAAATCCAAACATATCACATATCATCTAAATAAATTAATATCAGGCAAAGCATACTTTAAGAAAGCAATATTCAAACTCCCATAACTCACTCTTGTGAACTTCAACAAGTCAAGCAACATGATAATTCGTGCAACATGGGTTTCACGATGGAAAAAATACATTACCTTCTTCGTATCTTTCCATCCTTCACAACAGAAGAATTCTGGTTATCACTACTGGATGCTTTCTCATCTGCAACCCAAGAGCAAGATTCAGAAGTCGCTGTAACATCCTGCTCAACATTGCCAAGCCTGGACTCACGTGAATGTGAGAAAACCCTTTTCTTACAAACCCTTTTTGACCTACCAAAGAAATCAATTGTAAACCAAAAATAAGATTTGATCTTAGAACATAAGAGAAGCCAAATATTCAATAAATAAATAAAATTGAAGAAAAAGGGTTCAGTTCTTCATTATTGTTTTGAACAACCAATTACAAGAGAAAAGCTCAAATAGAAAACAAATGCTATTGTATTCCATATTATGATGGTACGCAGTGAAGCTGATAAAAAAGTTATGAGACACCCTTGCCAATTATATGTTAGCTGTTAGCACCAGTTTCACAGGGAAGAACCTTAATCTGCTAAAATTGATAACTTTCCAGAAAACTGAAACATGTAACAAATACAAACCTCCATAACTTCTGCACAATTTCTTGTTCTGGGTATTTGCAGCTTTCCCATTTCTCCTTCAGTTTCTTCAAATTCTCTACGATACTGCCACAAAGCAACAAAAAAAATGTTGCAACCATATCATTAGGAACCAAATGCACCTTTTCCAAAAACTTACTCATTATGGTAGTCCTGTAACTCTGAGTAGTATGCTTTCTTCTCGGCCTTTAAACGCTGTTCCTCCTGAATAATTGTATCAGGGTGAAGATGACCCGAACAAAGTGATATACCCCTGTAAGCATAAATTCCAGTCAAATATAGCAGATTTGAACTCTACAGTAATAATCCAATATTATATCTCCTGAACATATAACTAGAGAAACAAAATACAACATACCTCAAGAACTATAACTTCTTTAAAAATAAAGCATAACTAATAAAGTTGCAAAATTTGGGTGTGGTTTAATAGGTAAATGTATTTTCCAACGGGAACAACAAGAAAAGATCCATTATTCACTGGATGAGAAAAGTGTCAAAAGTAAATAATATATACTTGCCATTGAAGAAAATGATTTCCAAAGTGAAAGTTATCTCCAGAAAATAACGCTTGCAGAACCTGCTCTTTATCTATCCCTTTGGGAAGAAACTGCATCAGAAAATTTCTCTCATTCTCAGACAGATGAGACTGCCAAACCTGTAACAATTTCAATGCAAATTCCAAAAGGCATGAGATTAGCGGACAGAAGAGATTAGAAGCAATTGTGACTATGGATAACAAGAATATTACCTCATAAGAAAGCACCTTTGTCAAGTCCTTTAGTTCAAAAACTTCATGAGGAAGAGTCAAAACATCTGCTAAGACTCTGTGGTAATGATCTGTCGAATCTGTAAATGACCTTGAATGCCTCCGACTTAAGCCGATTTGTTCCCTTTTGGCAACAACTTCTTTTTTGTTCCCATCCCACTCAAGGGAAATATAACATTTTGTTTTCAAATCATTTCTCGGAGGCTCTAGCCTTTTCTTTTTGGTTTTGTATCGGTCCAAAGAATTACATCCAGCAATACTAGCACCGTGCAGCCTCTTTCTCCGTTGATCAGCTGCCATTGCTATCAGATGTCAAAAGAACAGGCAGCCAACATTTTCCTGCATATGCAAGCAGAAAATCAGTACCATATCGTATGACACCAAGAAAAACACATTGAACCACTAAAAATAAAAGCAGTAACCTTTGAATCAGAACAAATCATAAGACAGTTTAATTAGGCAAAGCACAACACATGCACTGCGTTCAAATGCATACATACATATAAAATTTTACCAGAAAATAAATCTTAAGCGTGTTACAAAACTAAATGTTAAAGCGATGTTTTTAAAAAAAAGTTGCAAAATTCTAATGTGGGACCCCGGATACTTTCAACCAATGTATAATATGCCAGAAAAGGAGTTTTACAACCATAGCAGCAGGCACACCAACTCAAATAATCTAAAGAAATAACCTGTTTCCTGCAAATTAACTAAAATAGGCAAACTGATTCTATCGTTTTTCTTTTAGTCATGCTAGTTGAAACATAAGCCGAAGTAAAAACGGAAACAAAGCTAACTAAGTTGAAATTTTTCCATTTACACCAAGTATATTTACTCAACACAATATTTGGATTTGGATTTAACACAGCATTCAGTATGCAGCACATAGAAACTCTATCCACAATAAAAGTAACTAACAACTGCAATAATCCAACACAGGCAAAAAAAAACACCCCTTTTTAATAATAGAAACAAACACACTTTAAAATTAAAATAAGATAAAGTAGCGATCATCCAACAAAAAATGGGCCTCGAATCAGAAAGAACAAGGAAAACACACAAACAACAGAGAAGCATTGAAGATCAGTAAACGAAACAAGCAAACAAAAACCGCAGACTTCAAGGTATATCGGAATAAAGGAACCCCTTTAATAGATAAAAAGACAAACCCTAAAAAAACCCAGAAAATATTTCTTTTCGAAGAAGCAAACAGAAAGTACCTTGAAACAAGAATGAGCAGTGGATTCAGAAATAAGCAAAACCGGGGGGGGGAGCAAAAGGAGCAGATAAAAGGGTCGTAAGCAATTGGTATGGAAGGGACGCGAGAGGGAAATAAGAAAAGGGCTTGTGTTAAGTTATCCAATAAAACCAATAGAACTCACACAAAGAGGAAAAAGAGAGAGAGAAGAGTGTAATAGAATTACAAGGGGAAGAGAGATAGAAAGAGTGGGGACGGGTGCGGTTTCTCGGAGCCGTTATGTCAAGGCGTTGAATCGCTCATTCGCGCTTAAGAGGCTCGGCTCTTTCCCTCTCTCCATAGTCCAGCCGCTCTCTACTCCACGCCTTGCTTTTAGAATTTTTATTTAAAAATTTTCTTATCCTATGATTATAATTAGGATATGGTGTTATTATATCATGTAAAATTCTTTTAGTTTTATATATATTTAGGATTATGGACGGACATGAGTTAGATTTTCAACTAATTCGACTTAACCTAAAAATAAATATATCTTCCATATGAAACTCAACCTAATATGGGTTTAGGGTAATTTCAACTAATTCGAAACTCAACCTGTCTTTTGAGCTATAACTCGATTCAACCTGACTCGGAACAAATAATTTATAAAAAACATAATTTTATTTAATAAAATAAGGATCTAATTGAAAATAATATAAAGATGGGTATTATTACAATTATCCCTAAATATATAGGTATAACTACATTATTTTTCAGGTTAGGTCAGATCAGTTATTTTTTACCCTAAATCTAAAAACAACCCAACTCAAACTTATCCTCTAAAAATCTAACTTGATCTGACTTGAACCTGATTTTTTTAATAAAAAACTCGACCCAATTGAATCAGGTCGTAACTCATTTTGTACGGGTCTCGTGTCTATCCCTATTTAGTACTATTGAATGAGTGAAAGTAGATTGATCATATTAACATTGGGAAATGAGAGGATATTCGCTGAAAAATGAAATAGAGAGTTAATCCCAACTGTATATTTTCACTTATTCAATGGTCCTAATTTTATGTAAAATTAAGAATTTTACATTGTGTAAGTGGATCATAACCCTTATAATTATATTTATATATTTTCAATTTATTTTTGAATAGTATGGAGTGATTATAAGATAGTATATGTTCAAAAATATTTTTAGCCTATGACAATACATATCCTGCAGACACAACTACTTGAACTCGAAACCTCTAAGAAGAATAAAATTCTTTTTAACTACTAAAACTACTCAACATATTAAAATCTTTTTTCAATTTAAAATATTATATTATAAAAATACTTTTTAAAAATATTTTTTTATAACCACGGATATTCGATCTATTGATTGTAAGGGTGATCCTCCCAACTAAATTTGATCCATTTGCAAAGGTCAGGATTAGAACCCTGAAGTTTTAACTTATAATATTAAATTATTTCTAATTTTCTACATAGGAAAAATATTTATAACCTTTTTCAAATATCTAAATTAAGGATTATTATATATTTAAATAATTAAAATCACAATTTTCAACATATTATATTAAAATTGATATCATCTAAATTAAAATTCAAGAGACTAACATTTTAATAAAAAATTCAAAATTATTATTTAAAAATATTATAATTAAAAATGTTAATTAAATTAAAAAAATCAATTTTATTTATGAAAAAATGTTGATTTATATATGGTGTGATTTATCAACAATTATCGGCTCGGCTAATCAGCCTAGTAGGAGGGGCGAGGGGTTGACGGTAAATAGGAAACAAGTCAAAAAGTCATTGGATCACGTGGACTTTTGCTTATCAAAGTAAACGTTTATTAATATATTGTTATGCTCTCCCCTTCTCTTTCACATTATCATGTGGCTTAACCTCAACCTTTTCCTTTTTTGAATTCCATCCCTCAATTATTTTTTTCTTTCAATTTCACCCCTCACTCTTGTTGTCTATCTATCCTTTGATTTCATTTACAATATTTGATCTTTTAATAGGTGATAGAACATTATATCAAATATAAAGTTTTATCGTACTAAAATTGAAACATGGATATAATTATTTTAATATATTATTTCGTAGTATGTTTGAGACACGAGCATAGGCCTGTAAATGAACCGAACGCACACGAACAGAGGTATGTTCATGTTCTTTCATTTAATAAATAAACGAACATAAACGAACACGAACATAAAAAAACAAATTTTTTTTATTCATGTTCGTTCATTAAGGAATTTAGTTTGTTCATGTTCGTTCATTTAATAAATAAACGAACACGAACATAAACGTTGGAGACCATACCTTCCATTGTTCTTTCATGAAAAATATTCGACAATGCAAATCAACCAATTCTACAGTGATAAATAGCGTAAGAGAAGATTAGCAGTGATGAAATGTTTGAAGATATTAGATATTTCGATTGATCTTTTAAAGATATTAAATGATTCACAAGACTTTAATTTAACACTATAACATTTATCTTAATAGTCTATGATTACATATGAACAATCATTTTCCACTACGTTATTCTAATAAATTCGCCGGCTAAAAGTTTTGTGACATTAATGTTAGACTTTAGTGAGATTTGTTAATAATGGTCCTTTCCGTTGGCAGAGTATAAAATTTAACAGCATGAAGATTTCGAACGGTACAAATTGGACTACAATGCAATAACATAGATCCGTAATCCCTCCGATGCTACATATCGTAACTTATATTATTGTTAAACCACCATTCAAGATTTTAACGTACTTAAAGTCTACTCCACAACTAAAGGTCACACAAGAACTATGAAAACAAAAATTCATTGTCAAAGTGTATTTTCTACTTATTAATGTGTTCTTCTAGGAAAACTCATTATTTCCGCTATTAAAATCTTTTTCAGAAATTGCATAGAAACATTTGTTTTGTTTTCTGGCAAATTCTATATATTTTTCTCTTTACTGATGCTCATATACTTCCGATTATTACCTTTATCTTCTCATCTATTTATAGAAAGAAATATGATGTTTTCTTGAGTTTTAGATATGAAGATACCCGCAATAACTTTACATATCAACTATTAAGCCAAAATAAAACAGAGAAAGAGATGAAAACATACTTGTAAAACTTCAGATTGCACTATAATATAACTTTTATTGAAGCTTTCACCGATCGTCTCCACTCGCCAGTGAACACTAGGGTTTATGAAAAAAAAGGGAAAATGAATATAGGTTAGAAGTGCCTCACGGGTTAACATATTGGATTTAATCTCCAAATAAAATTGGATTAATTATGGAGTTGGTCATCATAATATCAGATCAATTAATATTTTTCAGATACTTACAAATTGGTCACCAAAATTGATTTAAGAAGATTGAGTTAAACATAAATGAACGGACATAAACGAACATAACCGAACGAACATAAACGAAAATAAATGAACGTTCACGAACGTAAATGAACGAACGAGACCTATGTTCGTGTTCGTTCATTTAATAAATAAAAGCACATAAACGAACTTTCCGCCGCACGGTTCATGAACGGTTCGCTGAACGTTTAGTTCATTTACAGGCCTAAGCATGCACCAAACATTTCTTGCGTCTTGAGTTTAATCATTTGACTATATTTATGTTAAAAGGCATCTCTCTATTGAAGTTTTCACTGCTTGTTCTCATTGCTAGAGTCACCTTGTGCATGCTCTCGTGTCTATGGTTGATCTATTCGTGTTCTCTTTTCTATTCGTCTTTTAATCGGAGATTATTTCTACAAGTTATGTTGAATTATTTTATCAATGAATATTTCATTGGTTCGAACAAAAATAGATTGTTACTTCATTAAAAAACACAAATTATACTATACTTTTTTTAATTTCTTTTTGGTACATAAATGTAATGTGTATATGCTTGTGCGTATAAGTTTAGAGTCAGCAATGGAACTTGTAAAACATAAAAGGACTTATATGGTATAATGCAAGAACAAACGGTTAATTGTGGCCCATTCAAGTGTCTGACCATTTCAGCGCACAAAGCTTGGCAAAAATAAACTGCTTAAACGGTTAAACCCAACTCAAGTGGCTGATAATCTATTTCTCTCTCTTTGTTCTTCTGAGGATAATGGCAACGAAGAATCGAAGATACCATCCCCACATCCACTACCTCTCCTCCCTTACTTCCAAATTCAGCAACAAAATTACCAACCACCTTCACCACCAGCCATGGCCGGTACGAGTTTCAAGCCCTTCGAGACCCCATATACAGCATGTTGCTCGACACTCCTTGCAGCAAACCATCGCGTCCTCATCTGCTTTCACGGATCATCTCCTTGTTCTTTCGTGGGGAGACTGCGGGTTATTCCTTGTCTAGCTACTACACTTCTCTTGGCCTCTTTGCCATCTCTGTTCCTGGCCTCTGGTCTCTCGTTAAAAGCTCTGCGACATCCAAGGTATCTTCGATTAGCATGAGTTTTCACTTTGTTTTATTGGCTGCAGTGTTGATTTCGTTGGAAAACTGCTTTCAGATAGTGCAGAAGACGCTCATAGGGGAAGGAGCTGAGAAGAAGGTACCGAATGAAGTTGCTGCGGAGATATTTTCTTCACTCGCTACAGTTTGCGGTCACTGACAGAGGAGAGTCTATCACGTAAGTTTTACCGGTTAACACAACTCATTCATCATCTTTTAGGAAAGAGTAAACTAAACTTGTAGTCGTTCAATTTTTAGGGTGTTTTTGCTTTGGACATCAAACTTTTAAAACCTGCATTGCAGTCACTAAATTTTCATTACGGTAACTACTGTTAGCTGCCATTGAGGAAAGTTAACGTGAGGAGTATTTTTTTCTCAAGAAAATCTTAAGGTTTCAAATTGATAGATAATAAGGTTAAGTTTTTAATGAATTGAGCAGTTGTCGGTCAATTTCAACGATAAAAAGATTTTGTTTATCCAAAAGATTAACATTCAATTTCAAACTGGTATATTACTATCAACCGTTGACAAGCGATTTTTTGATCGGAGAAATCACCGAATAACAATAAAAACAATGATACAAGGAACATCGATTACCATATTTTTAAAAAATATATTGTTAATGTGTCACATCAGCTGATATTAAAAGTTTAACCATCAATGACAGAAGAAAGTTTTTATTAACTACAATGACTAATGAAAGTTTTTTCAATTTCAGTGATCGAAGTGAAAATGATCTAAAAGTTAAGTGACTATTAGTGTAGTTTACCTTTTAGGATAAAAGAAGAAAAATTTTATGAAGTAATTAAAGATGTATTCAAGTTTTTTTTTTTTTTTTTTTTTTGAATTTTCAAGATTCGAGGGAATGATGGTTTGTAGCCGAGGACGAGCAGCACCTGTATGAGCCTTGCAAGCGTTGTCCTTGTGCTCACCATAACATTTCTGGATGTGGGGAATAACGGATTCTGGTTCACTCTCCCAAGTCCATTGGCGTAAGCACGCATGCTCACCCTCCACCTTTTTTCTTCACTTTTTTGTACCATCTTATATTGGATGGAATGACTGCAGAGGACCTTATTAATGGAAGAGGGCAAGGAGCAGATCAAAGTTAAAATGGTGGATGCCGATGATGGGACCGTGTCCGAGGTTGTTGTTCAAGGAGATGATCAGCAAGTATATCAAATGAGAAAAGAACTCAAGCTAAGCGAAAAAGGCATGGTCTATGTAAAGGGCTTATTCGAGAGATGAGGACATCTATGATATTGCAGCTTTTGACAGTTCATTGAGAATAGATATGCATGTTTTAAGTGACTTTGTCATCTGTGTTTACTGTCCTGCAAATTTTGTTCTCTGTTGTTTGTATACTGTAAATGTTAAAATGATACAATATTCAATTGTAGAGTGAATGGTAATCAAGCCCAAGAGCATCAATATTTGATTCTCCGGAAAATCCGGGAAAATTATTCAGAGTTCAGAGAAATATCAACTGGCAGCGGTTGCAATTATACCAGTACAAAAAACAACGCTAACGATGCCCCGAAAGTCCAGGGCAGCAGAAGCAAAAATCTGCTACAAACCTTCGGCATTATCGACTAAATTTAAAAAACTTATTGAGAAGGAACAAAACTATTTGTTTAGATTATACTGTTATTCTAAACCGATCAGCAACTTGTTCTCTTCCAAGAAGCTGTAGGTGGGCACTTCCAGGTTGTACGGTGCTGGACCCTTGCGAATCCTGCCAGAGACATCATAATGGGAACCATGGCAAGGGCAGAACCAGCCACCATAATCACCAGCATTCGGCAAGGGAATGCAACCAAGATGTGTGCAGAACCCAACAACAATTAACCACTCTGGATTCTTAACCCTTGCTGCATCCTCTTGTGGATCACGAAGAGACCCTACATCAACATTGTTTGCCACCTTGATATCCTCCTCAGTTCAGCGCCTGATGAAAGAATTGCACCTCAGCTTGAAACACATCTAGTGCAAATCCATTGAAACAGCTAATTACAGCTTGCTGTACATCCAATCCATGGTTGTCTAGAGCTGTCATAGTGGAGAGCAAGAGACCTGGCCTGCGAGCACAAAACATGTGAACGTTGACAGTCCTTCCTTCTCTTACCCTAGCCTCCACCTGCAAATTGTAGAAATATAAACGCAGACAGTAGGAGTTACTTCAGATACTGCGGAAAACATATATGAAAAACAAGTTACATCGACAAAACCCGGTGAAAGTTTTGGCAAGCATATGGCTGTCCAAAATCTAACTTAATTACCAATTATAATTTAGGTCAAAATATAACAATTTGAAAGTCTATCCGGTGAAAGTTAATTGCATCAACAATGGATATAAATGTCGCGGATACTGGATAGTATCGGAGATAAAGGACTAGCAGTTGTGGCTTCGACATGTAAAGAATTGCAGGAATTGAGGGTTTTCCCATCTGATCCATTTGGGCCAGGAAACAATGCGACGGAGAAAGGTTTGATCCTTGTAATCTGCAAGCTGTCCTAAGCTAAATTCACTGCTCTACTTCTGTCAGCAGATGACCAATGCTGCGCTCATAACTGTAGCTAAAAACTGTCCGAATTTTATCCGCTTTAGATTGTGCATCCTTGACCCCGTAAAACCCGACCCTGTAACCAATCAGCCATTTGATGAAGGTTTTGGGGCAATTGGTCAGTCGTGCGAGCGTCTCAAGAGGTTATCACTCTCCGGCCTTCTGTCGGATAAGGTTTTTCTTTACATAGGGATGTACGCTGAGCAGCTTGAAATGCTGTCCATCGCTTTTGCCGCCGACAGTGATAAAGGAATGCTCTACGTGTTGAACGGCTCCAAGAAACTCCGCAAGCTAGAGATCCGGGACTGCCCCTTTGGTAACACAACATCTTCTAGATGTGGGAAAGTATGAAACAATGCGATCCCTTTGGATGTCCTTTTGAGAAGTTACCCTTGGAGGCTCCAAGATTGTCGCCGAGAAGATGCTGAGGCTGAATGTGGAGATCATAAATGAAAGCGACCAAATGGAATTCAACCTTGATGATGGGCAGAAGGTAGACAAAATGTATCTGTATCGAGCGTTGGTCGGGCATAGGAAAGATGCACTGGAATTTGTGTGGATTTTGTAAGTGCATTGTATAGGTTCTGCCATGTTTCTGTTTTCCTGCTTATATTTAAGTAGTACTTTGTTAGGCCTACTGATTCCTATGTAATCTTAGCTCGTTGGTGACTTAGCTGTTTGGCTAGTGTTGTTTAATGTACAAGAGATTTGCATATTATAAATGAATCTGTTGAACCATGAGAAACACCAGCATGATGAAACCCAACACATGTAATACATATAAAATAATTTACAAGAACCGAGAGCAGCCTGTATCTATAATGCAAACTTGGGTTTATGTAGATAAACTATAATACAAGCATATGATTGTTTATAGAATGGAAAAAGACCAAATAAAGTGCAAAGCAGCAGGCATTTCCCCACTTCCCAAACGGTAGCAAATTAGTATAGGGAAACCAGAAATGTAAATGATTACAAGCAGAAGAAGCATTCCTCCAAGACGCAGCAGCAACATAAAGCAGCCAAACTGCACATATATAAACAATGCACTATGCCATCAATACCGGTTTCGAGCAAAACATCTGAAACATGTATGTCATCTGAATGATGGTCTATTGATGATAACTGACAAGAAGTAGCCAACAGACACCCTTGTTCAAGTTTAGTTGTTAGTCAAAGCCTAACAACACTTCAAACCACAAGGAAACTATACAATCTGACCGCCAAGTACATGTTAAAGCATGAATAACTAATCCTAATTACCATTAGCCATGTTATTCGAAATTGAGTGTGAGTTTCGGATTAAGGTATGTATCCTTGACGGACACGGGTATTTCAAGAAAAAAGAAGGGCCCAAACAATGTAGCCATAGGTTCTAACTTAAGTGTCCAAGAGAGGGTGTTTGTCCCTGACAAGTCTGCTAGTGTTGCACTTCTAAAGCACATCTTAAACTAATTATGAAAATCATTATGACAAATCATAGCCTCCTTAACTGTCACTTTTAACCTTCATCAATTCAAGGATTTGGTCTACACCTCTATGGAGAATCTACCACATAAAACTCATCATGATGAACTGGAAGAATACATGGATAATGGACTTCATGTGAGGGGGAAAAATCTTATTAATGATGCTTAACTAAACTAAGAAATGATGACATGGTAAGAGACAGAAGACCTAAGGATGAAATCAAAGAAATATAATCATGCAACATACACAAATGACAAAAATGTATCAAATCCTATGAACTTCTAAGAGAGTGATGATACAATTGAAATGGAACAATTGCTACTGTAGTTTATTTTGAGTTTCCTCGAAGAACTCTTTTAGCACAAGCCAGTTACAGCTTGAACTTTGGGATTGTAAAATTACCATGTTAAGGAACCAAAATCAGATCTTTTGGCACCAAACAGATCAATAAATAAATAAAGATAACACGAAAAAAACACAAACCAGCCTCTTAAGAAAGAGAAACAGCCATCATCATAATGATTCTGGTGATGGTGATGCTCATAGTGGTGGCAGTGTTGATATTGAGGATGACCCGGAGGTGGCGGCGGCGGATAACCTTCAGCAAAATAACCTTGGTAACCGTCGTACGGCGGGCGTTGCGTCTGAGGATAAGGTGGATAACCCGGAGGCGGGTAGCCTTCATAAGGTGGATGAGACGGCGGTGGTGGAGCAGAAGGATAGCTAGGTGGAGGATAAGGAGAGGCGTAGCCTGTTGTTTCAACAGTAAAAAAAATTGAAGGAAAAAAGGAAATACTTGATGATTAAATTAGGAAATTAAGAAAAGGGAAAGATCTGATTACCAGAAGGAGGATGAGGATCTTGAGGAACTCTCTGATAATTCATATTGTTCTGCTGCTGGTGCGGTGCTGTTGACGATGTTGTATGTCTTCCTCGTCGTAGTCGTGGTTTTTTCTTTCTTTTTTCCCGGGAGAATGAACAGTGGAAGATGGAACCGTTTTGGTATTTACAGAGGATTTTGTTTTTCTAAATGGTAAACTATGGAAATAGTATGCTATGTTTTAGGCCCGATCGATTTTGGTTATCCGTTTAAAAATTAAGTAGTTTTAACTGTTCAATTTTAATCCTTCGACTATTAATTTTCATTAACGTATTTCTCTCACACGAATTAAACTGTTTCAGTGATAAAATAAATTATTATTATCCATAAAATTTTTGAATTTAAACACATCATAACGTTTATTATCATATAATTAAGAGTCTTCGAACATATATTTCATCTTATAATGACTAACATACCAGCAAATTTTTTTTTGTCTCCCTCCTTTACCACAATAAGTGATTGATATTTAACTCGAATTCGATGAATTCTAATATGATCTTATCAAATTTGATCGTATTCAAATTTATAATGAACAATACTCTTCTCAACTAAATAATAATAATATAATTAATATTTATAACTTTAAGAGTATTTTTTATAAAACATTTCTATATATATGTATTTTTTTTATTTTTATCAAATAAAAAATGAGAATTTTTTTTAATATTCACTAGAGCTTTTACCTTACAAATTGAGTCAGATGATAAACGAAAGAGTGTCCGACCCAAGACTATTCCTAGCCTAAACTCAAAATTTTGCGTTGATATATAATTCTTAGCTCTAAGTTGATCTAATAAAATGAAGTGTTAGATCCTAGAATAAGGTCAAAGATTTTAATATTGATTATTATGAATAAAACAAACAAAATTAAGAGGGTTACTTCGAAATGAACTTTCGTAATATTATATTTAAATTAATAGATTAATAGATTATATAATAAAAAAACTAAACTATTTTTTTTAATAGTTCTATTTTTCGTATTAGTAATTTTTTTTAGATGAAAGTATTCGTTTGATCAAGTAGTATTTTAAATTATTTTATTTAATAATTAAAGGTCAATTATACTATTAGTCAATCAACTATTAAGGTATTTGCACTCTGGTCATCCAAATGAAAAAAAAATCATTTAAGTCACCTTTATTAAAGAAAACTTTCACCGAAAGAGAAGAACCTGTCGGCTAAGCCAAGGACGATTGCCTGGAACCCAAACAAATCTTCAAGGAAGAATTTGCAACTTCAGAGAAAAAAAAAACCCTTCTTGGAAGGAACAACAGACAAGTCATCCTTGGCTACCAAACAAGGTCTTATCCTCTCATGCATGGAAGAGTTCCGGATTTAAATAGTGTTTACAGCCGCGTTTTCGATTGCGTCGCGTTTATAGTGTTTGCGGACATAACGGATGTCATTGCGATCACTACAGGCGTCGAGGTAGTGATTTTTTTAAAATTTTATATAACTTATCCTAAAACATAATAATTATAATTATTATTATAAGGAAACATTTTTAATGATTTTTAGAATGCTTCAATTTCAATAAAATTTGAAATTTGTATATACGTAAAGTTAAAAAAAACTAATGTATTATTGAATTTGAATTATTATTTAATTACATTAGTAACATGATAATAAAATGTAATGAAATATGAAAAAATGAAACTTGAAATGTTGAATGAAATTTGAATAAACTTAAAGAACAAAAAATAACTAAATTAAATATAATTAAAATAAAAGTATAAAATTTTAAATTGTAGACATTTAAATTACTGAAATTAGGACTAAATTAAAAAACTAAAGTTTACATTCCAAAGTTAAGATTACATTATAAATTTTAAAAGGTGGGAGGATGACAAATTAATATATCCCTTGAAAATTTATTTTAGAATTTAATAAAAAAAATTAAAATGGGAGTGGAACGGCCCAATCTATATTTTCCTTGAATTGAAAATTATATTTTAATAGGTTAAGAAAAGCCTAAACGTGGACCATCTCTTTCAATTAAAAAGAAAAATCATATTAATAAAAAAATTAAAAAACATGAAATGGGAGTGGATAAAATGTCGTCTGAGATCATTACTACACAATTATAAAGACTGCAATAACACCAATTATTGCCACAGTTATAATAAACGCAAAACAATCGCAAAAACGACTTTAATTGTAATTAAAATCCCTGCTCTCAAAGGAGTTCGAAAGAAAACTGATGACCAAGGAAGGACCAAAGTGCATGCAAATGACATTAACTAGCTCAATAAATGGAACTTGAACTATCATCTCATCTTGGTTTACTTCAATAAGCCTTGACTTGACAAGGTTTAAATTTAGACAAAACATTCTTTTAGACGGTATTTTTTAGGTTGAAATCCAATTATATACTTTTTAATCTATTATTTTTTAATATAAATAATCAATGCCATTACAAATTTCAAATTCATATTTATAATTGATGTTTTCTAAGATAATAATTATAACCATACATGAAATTTGGATATAATAGAAATGAAAAGGAAGCAATTTTCTTCAAAGAAGATGCTCATTGGACCAAATATATAATTATATAACTTAAAAGATGAACGTGACGTCAAGGGTGGTTCCGTGGTGTAGTGGTTAGCATTCCGGACTTAGAATCCAGCGACCTGGGTTCGACTCCCGGTGTGACCTTTTTGTTGCATGCACATTGCAAACCTTTCTTTTTCCCAATCTTTATCTTTATGTGGATCTGGAAACATAATTGCAGATGTACTGTCTTCAAATATATAATGACTCAATTTTATTGAGAGAAAAACTTTATATGTATATTATTTTTATGCGTCTTATGAGGATAAATTATTTGAATAAACAGTTTAACTTGGATCACATAAAAAAGTCAATAAGAACGTTACATGTAGCATTGCCTGCAGTTCTAGCATCCTGGTGTTCTTGGCCACTTTCAAACTATCCCTTTCAGTTTCATCTGAATTATATGGACGAGAATTGAAATAATCCAGAGCAATCACTACATCATTAATAGAAGGTCTGGAATTTGCATTTTCATCTAAGTTGGTGATGTTCATTCCATCTTTAAACTTGTGTTGTGCCTACAAAAAAATTGAATATAGTATAGGTCATAAAGCACATTGCTGGAAAGTATCTTGAACAAGGAGAAAATTGAAATCCATGCAAGTACTGCAGAAACGTGCAAATATGTCGAGTAAAATGATATTTCTTTGAGAAGAGCCATGGAGAAACAGTTCCAGCCAAACTGGTAATGTACATGATGTGAAGTATTACCCGATCAACAAGGAGTTGTTCTTCACCAGCACGGGTATCGTCAAAAAGCTTTACGTCTTGTCCAGTTATCGTCAAAGCTCGGGTGGTACTCGGTAGCACAGTAGCCATAGATAGAACCAGTGCAAATAATTTACATCAAATGATTTGTTTGACAGAATTAAAGAAGGCATGAATTACATTGGAGGTGATCTTCCAAGGATCCCAACTGCATGTACTCGTAGACAAGAAGGAATAAAAAGGAATTTCATGATTTTTTTTATGTAGAATTGTATGAGCTCGAATCATTCCTTTCAAATGCACTGGAGGTTAGAGAAAAGTCTGATTTCTTATGAAAGAAAAATCACTTCAGTTACTTCTCATAAATCATAACTAGTGTCAAATTTTAACTGTTGACCCTGAAGTTGATATATGGTAGTAGAAGTGGAGTATGTTGTTCTCTAATTGTATGGGAAGATTATTATTGGTAGTTCAATATCAAAGCATTTGATCTTTTAGGGACTCCATGAAAACAAGCTTGAAGCATGAGGTTAGAAAGTTTCTGCCATTTTCATGTATGTATTATCTTAGTTTCTATTTTTGTCACGTGAAGGGTGGGATGGGAACTTGGAGGAGAAAGGATTCACCTGGTTACTGGATGATGCCAAAGGTAATAATTTTTGCCTTACGTTGAATCTTTGTATTTTAAAAATCCTGCGCAGCACTTTTCTTGTAAAGATTTTACTTTTACTCTCATTTTTTATACGTGTGACCAATAGATCAACCAACTTCCGAGAGCGGCATACCTCTGTCCCCAGTCCACTATGGCTTTACTCTAAAGTAGCTGATGCTAAGATGTTACCTGCTGGAGTGTCTGTGGTATGGAACTTTCGTTTCTCTCTAGTAAATGTTTTTAGGGTACTGGTCGCCATGTGAGTGTTTAATTTGGTCGTTTCTAGTTTCATTTACCTTTTGAAGTGGGAGTATGGGTAAATTGTGAATCTGATTACATTAAAATTAGTTTGATCAGTTTTGAAGAAATTAGTATCATTTTTGTCGTTTTTGTTCATCACAAATTGATACCTGGCTTTTATCTTTGGCTTTTTTCATTTTGATTTGTATTGTTTCTGTGCTATAATTTATGTACTCATTTACAGGATACAAGAGCGAATTTGCCCCATGGGGCCACTGGTGATCCCAATTTGAAAGATGGTTGTTGTTTAGATGGTTCTCAGGACAAGAAAGAATGGAGGAGGGCTGCACCCGATCTTGAAAGCAGTCGCTACTGGCATGAAGAGGAGAGAGAAACTAGCATACTTGGCCAAAGAGATTGCAGAAAAGATGACCGTCGCACTGATATTTCTTCAACAATGGATGTTCCTGGAAATAGGACCTTATTGTCTTCAGAGCGATGGCAAGATGTTAGTAGTAGTGGTTCAGGGCTTGAATTTCGAAGAGAAAACAAGTGGTCTTCAAGATGGGGTCTTGAAAAAAGGTTCTCGAAATGACAAGAGAACATATGCTAAGAAGGAAGATGCCCCTTCCGAGAAACAAACTCTTGCTAGTGGGGGTCGCTTAGCTTCTGAGCGTGAGAATGATTCTCGTGATAAATGGAGGCCACATCATCGTTTGGAAATTCATGCTGGTGGGTCTGCTTCTTACAGCAGTGCTCCATGATTCCGTTTGGAGAGGGGACAAGTGAAGAGATCAAATGTGGGTTTTACAGCAGGACGAGGGAAGCCACAATCTGTTTCTGTTATTGGAGCTCTTCCCGTGGATAAAAACAAGACCTTTAATGCATATTGCTATCCAAGAGGAAAACTACTTGACATTTACCGCAAGCAAAAGGCTGCTACAAATTTTGACACCCTACCTGATGAAATGGATCATTCATCAACTGTAACACAAAAAGAAATTGTTGAGCCTTTCGCTTTTGTTCCTCCTTTTGCAGAGGAAGAGGTATGAAGTTTCTAATCTGATTTATGGAAGGAATATCTACCCATTTTTATCCTTCTATATGGTTGCCTCAAATTTGCTTGCCTGATTCTTACAGGTTGTCCTTGGAGATATATGGAAAGGAAAAAGTACAAGCAGTGATGTGATCTGCGGCTCATTTAGGGACACAAGTAGGGATCAAATGAAAGCATTGCTGCTCATGTTTCATTTATGTTCCAAACTTACCTAGTAATTGATTAGATACCTTTGAGAAGCTAAGTTAGGTTCCCATCCTAATCCAGGTCTTATTGATGTGTTTTTAGGTGAAGAAAAACAATGTTTCTCGGTTAACAGGGACGGCAGTGTTGAATCTGGTGAGAAGGCTTCTGTAAACAATAATTATCAAGGGAATCACGCTGAGACATTATATGTGTCAGATTCACAGATGATTATGACAAAAGGTAGGGAGCTTTCAGCTTTAGTTGTTTGCTATCAGAAGTCCATTAAGGATAATATTCATGATTTGTTTTGCTTGTCGTTACAGAAATGAATGGTTCAAAAGGTGGGCAAAGATATATGACACCATCTTATATTTATGTAACGGATGCGTTGGGGTCAGGTAAGGAGATTGATGGTTCCAAAAATTACATGGATGGATTAAAATCTTTTGATAAGCGACAAGTAGCTGATATGAGAACGGAAAAGGACTCTAATGCGGAGGACAATGTATCATCCATGCAATTAGGAGTGGGTAGCGAGCTTCCTGAAGGCTCAAGCTCTCTATTTGGTTTTCAGTCACTACAGCCTACTCTTGGTTGTGACCAGATAAATGTTGAGGGCAATAAGGAAGCACATTCACAAGAAAGTATCACCGCTGCTGAGGAATTGAGTTTGTGCTATCTTGATCCTCAAGGGGTAATTCAGGGACCATATATGGGGATTGACATAATTTCATGGTTTGAGCAAGGTTATTTTGGTACAGACTTACCTGTTCGATTGGCAAATGCTCATGATGGATCGCCTTTCCGAGAACTTGGTTTGAGCAAGGTTATTTTGGTACAGACTTACCTGTTCGATTGGCAAATGCTCATGATGGATCGCCTTTCCGAGAACTTGGTTTGAGCAAGGTTATTTTGGTACAGACTTACCTGTTCGATTGGCAAATGCTCATGATGGATCGCCTTTCCGAGAACTTGGTGAAGTGATGCCTCACCTAAGGATGAATACTGGTTCATCCTCCAGTGTTAGTGCAGTTACAAGAATGCAGATACCTGATTGTTTTGAAGGGAGCTTGGAAGAAACTATATCTTCTACTGCTTTTGCATCAGAACTGAAGGGGTCTGCCATTGGACATGAGCAGCAGCAGTTTTTGTCTGCTTTTGGACTTCTGGCACTAATTTTCAGTTAAAAGGGTCTTTTCGAAGTTATCATTCTGAGCATCAGTTTCCTGAAGACCAAAAGCTCCATAAATTTGCTGCTTCTCATGCTGATGGTAAGTTTAATGGGTTGAACCTACTGTTGATTTTATTAGTTACTGTGTTTAATAATGATGCCTGTTATTCTTGTGTGATGAAGAAATCATCTTTCCTGGAAGGCCTGGAAGTGCTGATTCTGAACCTTTGAAAGTTTCTGCCGAAATTGAAGATCTTTTTGTAAGGTATGACTCACAAATATACTGGTAAAGAGGACATGGGATAGAGCGGAGTGAGCGAAGCGAACATCAACTGTTCTTATAAAGAAAGTCTCATAATGGGGGTTACGATTATGTGTGGATTAGGGGTGCGGGGCCGCGGTATGGTACAGGGTTAATTTTGTAATTATGTACCATAGTTTTCTATTATAAATAGAGATGTAACCTAAACCTATGAGACATTGAATAAAATTTTTAGTGCCACCTAGGCACCGAGGACGTAAGCACATTGTCGAACCTCATTAAAATTCTTGTGTTCTTTCGTTTACTTTTCCCAATTCTTCAACACTTTTGGCAATCCTACAAGCCATTTTCCCATTGCAAATGAATTTTCGAAAACCAATTTACCTACTCGTCAAGGTGATGAGTTGCATCCAGATGCTTGGCTCGATGATTATAGAAGAAATGTTGTGTTTAATCCTAACAGTCATACAGGGAGTACTGGTTCTTGGGCCTTATTTTACAGGGAGCAAGAACACAATGGTTTAGACCTGGTACAACACCTAATGTCCCAAAATTTGTCCAATGAACCACTTCAAGAGGAAAATCACTTCTTTCATCCCCTTCCACATTCAACTGAATTTGGTGTGGAGCGTAGTCATAGTTTCGATCTGATGCAGAGCAAGAATCTCCATCAGCAGCACTCAATCCATCATTCATTTCCGCACATGGACACCCTTTTGGAGCTTCAATTTGAACATCAGTGGCAGTTGGAACTTCAGCGATAGCATCAACATCAGTTGGAATTTCAGCTGCTGCAGCATCATCAGTTGGAACTTCAGCGGCGACAGCAGCAGCACTTGGAAATTCAGTGGCAGCAGCAACAGGTTCGACACCATCAAATTAAATTGTTGCAACATTTGGAAGAACAACATCTACAGCAGCAGCATTCTAAAGTTCAGCAGTTGCTACTTGATCAATTACTGCAGTATCAGATTTCTGATCCTGGTTATGGGCAGCGCATACTTGATGCTTCTAGAGACAACATACTCGATCAAGTTCAGCTACAAAGACATCTTCTAAATGAATTGCAGCAGAATTCTCATTCTTCAGGGCACCTGGATTCATCACTAGAGCAGATCATCCAAGCAAAGATCAATCAGAGTTCCGCCCAAAGTCAACAGGCTGCTTTTTTGGATTTCATGTCACAAGTGAAGTTTGGCAATATGCTCCCTTCGGAACATCAGCTTCATCTTCAACAAGAGCAGTTTCAAGCGCAACAATTATCTAGGGCACTAAGCCAACAACAATTGGGAATGGAGGGGGTAGACAACATGCTGGTTCTTATTCTGTAGATGAAGTTGATCCGTTTGTCAGGAATCCTAGCATTCATCCCCAAGCTCAATCAGTAGGGTTGAATGATTCAAATCCTCACCAGAAGAGGCTTTCATCTTTTGTAGAGCAATTAAGCAATCTTAAAATGAATCTTTCTTTGCTGGAGCAACAGCAGACAAGGACTTTTGAGCAAAGGTTTGCAGCATTTGCGAGGTCGACTCTTTCTGCAGCTACTCATGGGATGGAAGTAGACAATGTAAATTCTCTAGAACTATCTAACCATCTCTATATGCACTCTAACAACCAACTAGGTCCACTTTCTTCTGGTAACCACTCTATTGGCTGACAAAATTTGGGTGATGTGTATACTTCTCATCAGATTTCAGATAGAGCTACCAGTCTAGTCAAAATGGGCAGCTAGAAAATTGTTGGGCTGAAAGACAAATGCAACAATTAAGTCTTGAAGCAAATCTGCAAAGAAGGGAGTCTGAAGTTGATTCAAGCCCTTGGACATCAGCTGGAGGGATTCATGAAAATTCTAAGAAAACTTTAATGGACCTTATTCACCCAAAACTTGGTATTCTATACATGCGGTCATCAGAAGTAGATGATCAATTTTCTACTTCATCTTCCAGAGGGAGGGAAACCTTTCGGCCTGTTCCCGAGCCAACTTCGGATTTACCTTTTGATCATTTCACAGACCAGGAAATTCATGTGAACAACTAATTTTCAAAGGCATTCAAAATTCTGGCTCATTTGAAGAAGAACAGTCATTCATGTTGGTACTGGGGATCATTTTTCTAGTAGTTACGCAGGTGCTAGGTTGGAGGCAAAATCTGCTGTGGATAAAGAATTACTGGGGGGTAAGGAGAAGAGAAACGTATTGAAAGATGTGATTTCTCGGAGTGGTTCTGTGTCAGGGTATGAGGACAATGTTTTAGAGCTGGTAGAGACATCTTTGGACTGTGGTGACTTACAAAGTAGAACCCATTTCTGGCATGGCTCTCTTAGTTCTGGTAATCTGTCAAAAAGAATTTTTCACTAAATGCCATTTTTTTCTATTAACTGAATCATGAAAGTGAAATGGTGCAGGTGACAATGACATGTTGTGTAGTAATGAAATTGGATTAGGTAAACCAGTTGGAGAAGACCCCTCTAATGATAGGTGACTTTCGTTTATTTGTGACGTTGGAGATTTTTTTTTTTTTGCACAGCTACGACACCTCATAATGCCGATCCCCCCAATCCGCATTTGATAATCGACATTAGTGCACATCTATGCACGCACAGTCTCATTTTGGTTGTTAATAATGTTTTAAACTTTATTTGTAAAGCGTCCTAAACGTGCTTGTGTTTTTTTATAGGTTATTGTCACTGATGCCGAAACGGCATGATAAAGTTTCACAGGTTTCGTCATCCCAGACTATTTTTTCTGATCAAAACACAGTACTATTTGTGAAGCAGAAAAATTCTACAAGCCTGTCAACTCAGGCAAAGAGGAGCGTAGAAACCGAGGCAGCATCCAAGAAAGATGCAGTTTTGAGGACCTCATCTTTCAATGATGCTGCAGTGTCCGAGGCATCATCATTCATCGAGATTCTTAAGAAGCCTGCTCATCTTCAAGGAACTGAGGCAGCAGCGTACGGCTATGCTTTTGAGCCAACATCTGACGCCGCATCACAAGCTCCGCGAAATGGCAAGAAAAAGGGAAAGAAAGAAAGACAAATCGATCCTGCCCTGCTTGGTTTCAATGTTACGAGCAACCGCATTTTGATGGGTGAGATCCAACGTCTCGACGACTAATTTTTCTCGTCTACTCGTACCGTGTCATGTTGTACATTCCCTGTAAATTATTTCGGTTAGTTTTGTTAGGCTTATTTTAACGAACAATTTGGGTTTAAACGTTCCAAGGCAGTGAGCTAATCAGTGTGAATATCCGAAACTGATCAAATAAGTACAGTTTGGGTTATGAAAATCATTGTTTAATAGTTGAAATAGAGGAGTAAAATTGAAATTTTGAATTCAGATTTTAAATTTTCTTTTTGAAAGAGAGTACTTTATATTATACAAAGTACACCACCTCAAAGACCTCATTAAAAAATATCCATAATCCTAAATGGAGGAAAAAGAGTGTACCTTGAGGTGGGAAGAATCTCAAACAGTTAATGCTATTACATTTTACTAAACACCGAAAACCACAACCCAAACTCATTATAATCCCAATCCAGACCAAGCATCTGTTCGACAAAACCAGAAAACAGAAGGCATAACTGAACTAACACAAGCACAGCTTCAATGGGAAGCATCAACACAACAACAAAACTAGATACACCAAACCTGCTAACACATCATATAACACTGCACAACATAATAAAATATCACCAATCTGCTTCCCAATCCTTCATCAATCCACAACCCAAGCACACTAGTAATGGAGTATAACAGAAAAACAGTAACCAGAACAATCAAAACAGCTGATAATAATTCATTCAGAATGGATAGTAATAATGATCTAACTCATGCAGAAGAACGCTGGAATGCATCAGATCAGCACCAGTGTCTGGGTTGAATGAACAATTATACCTCAGCAATGAATTAATGCAAAACTCCAAAAAAATTACTATCAACACACTCCCAGATTGATGTAGTGAGTACATCCCTCAAGCTCTTGATCAACCGGCACAACGTTTACCATAAGGAGTTCGCCCACACCCCTACCTAGATCAAGACTCAAATAAAAAAAATTCCACTGAAATACACTCCCCTTGGTCATTACAATAATTCAATGTTCAATAAAGATGATAGATTATGGACTTCGAACAAAGTCTTCAACATTTGGAACTAACGATGGCCATAATATATTAGCCCAAAGCCCTGTCTACAGTAAAACATTGAATGTATTTGATCCACATTATAAGACATATTACTAAACCTTAACTTGTTTCTATACAACCACATTTGCCAAATCAAACCGAAAACCCTAATATGCCAAAGATTCCTTGCTTTTCTTCTAATTTTCTGAGAATCCCATATTGCTAATAAATCTTTGATATTCTTAGGTATAATAAACCGGAATTTCCAAAGAAAACACCACCGTTGCCACACTTTCCATACAAAATTACAATGACATAACACATGATTGACATCTTCCGGGTGACTTTTTCAAAACAAGCACAAGAGTTGGACATTACAATTGATGCCTCTCTTAACCAATTCCGTCGCAACTGGCAGCCTTTGATATACAACTTTCCATACAAACGCAACCACTTTAGGAGGGACATACTTATTCCAAACCTTTTTCCAGATTGGGTCTTTAATCTTACCTACAGTTGCCAATTTAATACAGAAATCTTTAGTAGAATAAATGCCATTGGGAGAACCTATCCACTTCAATCTATCATCACCTGGATTTGAACTAACACCACTTTCCAGAACTTGATAAAAATTATTCCAAATAACCTTTTCCCATTCAAACAATCCACGCCTCAACTCAATATTCCAAACCCATTTTCCATTCGCCCAATTCCCAAACTCACTAATAGAGCCAAATTTTTTCATTGCAATCCCATAAATTCTAGGAAAGGCTACTTTTAAGGACTGTAAATCTGTCCAATGATCATTCCAGAAGTAAATTCTATGACCAGCCCCCATAACGCACCTCATCTCCGAAAAAAATCTTCAGCATTCATCGTAGCTTGTTTCACTATATTGTGCCACACCCCTATCGAATATCGTGGACTAACCCCTTTTGGCATAATCGCATCCGAAGCATAGTTATACTTAGCGACAATGATCTTTTTCCATAGGCTTTCTTGATCCTCACTAAACCGCCAAAACTATTTATTCAACAAAGCACGATTCCTAAGCCTAACATCATAGATACTTAGACCACCATGAGATTTCGGACCACATACCATATCCCACTTAATCCAATGTATTCCTCTACCATCCTTCTCGTTCCAAAGAAAACTAGTTATACATTTATTTAAAGTCTTAGCAATGACGTTAGGAATAGAGAAAAGAGACATGTAATACACCGGAAGGTTCGCCAAAACAGATTTAATCAGAGTAATACGCCCCCCAAAAGATAAAAGTTTACCTTTTCAGCTTTGTAGTTACGATATGACTTTATCCACTATCAGTTGCCACATCGATTTATTATTTTTTTGCAACCTAACGATAACCCCAAATACATCGAAGAAAGTTTAGTCCAGTCATAGAAAACCATATCTGCCCACTCATGCACTCTGTTATCCACCACATTGATGTCATATAGTTTTGTCTTCCACAAATTTAACTTCAAGCCAATGGCCAGCTCGAAAATTTTGAGAACCCGAAACAGGTTTTTAATCATAAATTCTTTTGCTGTCGAGAATAAGATTAGATCGTCAACAAATTGGATATGAAAAACACTCGTTCTTCTTGATCCAATGTTAACCCCTCCACACAGACCATATGCAGCAGCTTTCTTTAGCATTCCGCTAAGCACCTCTCCCACCACATTAAATAAAAACGGCGACAACGAGCAGCCTTTTCGAATACCCCTTTTAATAGAAAACCATTTAGAAGGACATCCATTGACCAAAACCGCAATCATGGGAGTCGAAATACACATATTGATCCAAGTCCTCCACCTTTTACCAAATCCCATTTTTCTTCAGATTCAAAATCACCCAATCGACTGTGTCGTATACTTTACTGAAATCTGCCTTGACCAGTATTGCTTCACCCTTGCTTATGTTCAGGTTGTCAATGACTTCATTCGCAATCAGGGAATAATCTAAAATCTGTTTGCCAGCCATAAACGCAAACTGATTCTCTCCAATAACTTCATTAATGCAGAAAGACATTCTTTTCGCCAAAACACGCGCCATTATTTTATACATACTGCCCACCAGAGAAATAGGTTTGAAGTCTTCAGGATACTCAGCCTGATTTTTCTTCGGAATGAGAGCTATAAAAGATTTGTTAAACGAAAAATCAATAATTCTTTTCCAATAGAAATCGTCCATAAACTTCAACACATCAACTTTGATATCCTTCCAAAATTTCTTGAAAAAGTCCAAACTAAATCTATCCGGACCAGGCGCTCTTGAACCATTCGAAGAATTAATAGCTAACCATATCTCCTCCTCTGAGAACGGGCATTCAATAATCCTTCTAGTGGCAGCACTGATTCTCTTCATCGGAATATTGAAACGCTTGACAAGAATCGTCTTCACATCATTATAATTGTAACGAAAATGGTTGACGAATGCTTGCTGGATCCCTGACTGATTTTTATAAACAGAATTTTGAACCTTCAGTTTCAAAATCTGGTTCTTGGTGCCTCTAATTGCAACAATATGGTAAAAAAAATTGGTATTCTTATCGCCTTCTTTAAACCACATTAATCTCGATTTTTGCAGCCAATCTCTTTCTTTCTTTCTATACGCTGCCCATATTTTAACTTTCGCAGACAAAAGTTCAGAGTAAGATGTCGAGTTACTTTGATTCGAGAGGCATAATTTTTCTAAAGCGTCGATTTTTAGCTCCAAGTCCTCAATCGAATCGATCTTTGACTCCTTTCTTAACTTATCCCATTCCTTAATCACTGACTTCGCTGCCAGCAGAACATCGCTAATTCCTCTGCCTTTATTAACTCGACAAACTGCCCTAATTTTATCTGCAACATTTTGATCATCTGCCCAATGGTTGAACCATTTGAAGGGCCTACACTACTTTTTTAATTTTTTTTTTCGCGTAACAAAATTGAATTGTGATTGGACAAACTTCTAGGTAAAGTAGTTTGCAACAGATTCGGCCATAAGCAAACAATTGCGGGTGAAATTAAGAAACGATCGAGCCTACTAGCTGCTAAACTTGATTCGCCCCTAAACCATATAAACACACTACCAGAGAAAGGAACATCTACCAAATCCCATTTAGAAATAAAGTTTTCAAACAACAACATTGACATTGAATTGTCGTGATTTCCAGTTCTTTCAGAATTGTTCCTAACAATGTTAAAATCACCTCTCACTATAACTGGCAGCTTCAGAGAATCAATAATGTTATTCAGCTGATCGAAGAAGTTAACACGATCTCTATAGACATTCGGCCCATAGACATTTATAATGTCTATTTTCAACTTATGCAAAACAAGCAAACCTTCTAGCACTATAAATCTCCTAGAAACAATATGGATATTCGCAATGAAAGCGTTCCAATCCCACAAAGAAATTAATTCTCCTGAAAAACCTTCAGCGGGAGCAACAACTATCTCCCTATCTAATATGCCCTTTATCCTTCTCTCAACAGAAGCCGAAATAGCCATAGTTTTAGATTCCTGTAACAAAACCATGCTGGCCCTATTTGACTCAATTAACCGACTAACCGCTCTTACTTTTTCCTTTTTACCCAGACCTCTAATGTTCTACGATAATACAGAAAATTCAAATTCCATAAAAAATACTAGCACCCATACACGACCCCACCCTTAACACAAACACAGTTTATCTCTAACCTGATGACTGAAGATACTCCAATCGATCAAGAATCTTCTCTCTTGTGGCTGCAAACTGCACACCCAAAGAATCCGCCATAGCTAATGTATCCGCCACTTCATTACCTTTCCCCTAATGACTTCCCGGAATTGACCCTACTGGATAAAGCACCCCCAAATTAATCTTTTCCAGCTTGAAGTTTCACACTGTTCCTTTTCGCACTCTTCTTATTCCTTAAAGACAAACTTTTTGACCAAGATTTCCTACCATTCATCAACTTGGTACCCTTATTATCACTAAAGACAATATTGCCTTCGACAGCATTAGGATTACCTTCCAACTCAGCTAAAATATTTCCATTGTTAGCCACAGATGCTGCTACCCGAATACCCACTTCTCGAAATTGAAATGAATAGACTTC